CTTTGATGAGAGTGAGGCTGAGGAGAGCGTGGGGGTGGTGTCCAGATTAGTAATTAGGATCGAGTTGATGCTAATAAATATGAAGGGGGGCAAAGCGTAGATGAGTATAACGAGTTTATGTTAACTATGAGGAGATACGGCGGACAATCATTTCTACAGGGTGAGGAGACAGTGGAGGGAGCTTGCCACGGGGCTTCAGCTTCAGGGAGTAATTACCATTTCCAATCACTACCTCACGTTAGGGCTGGGCAAAGAGTCGCTTTAGCAAAGTCCGGATAATGTTAGTGCACCTCTTAGACAAATAATATGTTATGAACCGATTCGGCAAATGGGATAGAACAACTTTGAAAAATGGGTAAGCATCACTTCAACAATAATGGGTGCAACCACTTCGGCAGACGGGTCAGGAAAGAGAGTTAAGAGTCTGAATTCGGATTATGTCTTATTATATATTCAATTATCCGGATATTTTATGCGGATTTTGTCCACCTCTACCTCACGTGCCTCCTGAGTGGTGGGGATTATACATAGTGCACACTTGCCAATCGGATTCTGTCGAACTGAGTCGGGGGTGTGACAGATTTTCCTCCGAGGAGCAGCAAAAGCTACCACATAGTGCACACTGCCCATCGGATTCAGTCGCACTGAGTCGAACTGAGTCGGGGCCGGTCAGATTTTGTTACATGGTGGGGCAAAAACTATCATCTTGGCACAACTTGACCGAATTCGATCGTGACCTAAAAAAACAAATCCGTTTATTTTTTAACCCTATCCGTACGCCCTGGGGTAATTTTTTACCCCCAGGGTTGTATTCCTCACATTTTAGAATACTTCTAGTACGAAGATCTTTTTGAAACTTTTAGTATTTCTCAAAAAATCATTTTGACAGACTGCTATGCAAAGGGTACGGATCGGATAAACGAGTAAATTTCCTCTTTTGGAAAGTGGTAGCACAGAGTTCTCCACGTCGTATGGATACAATAGTAAAACACGGCGTACGGATAGGGTTAAAGTCGCGAGTCGAATAATCCGCCGCTGTGTGCAGTATGTGAGTATTGTGAGTGTGCGGAACGCGGTAATGAACGGTGTCTATTTGGAGAAGCTGATGCTGATAGATCTAAAACGTTATCGACGTTCGCCATGTCTGTAGGATTCAAAAACCTCTCAACACAGCAATTGTGGTATGTAGCAGTCGGCACTCGAAGCCAGTATGGAACGAAAAAGCTCTGTTGTGAACGGGATGTTTTGCGTTAATAACAACATGCGCCCGTCAAATAGTAATAAGTTTATTCTTGTCAAATTTGACACGACAAGAAAGGCGGACATTCGTAGTGTGCACTGAAGCTGCCTATATCCCTTTTGGTACCATGGATTATCAGCACATTTATTTTTCAGTGAGTGTTTTACAGCGCTCGCAACTGCATACGGCCATATTATGAGCGCGCGAGACAGAT